GAGGAGTGAAGGGACCCATCTAAGGACACAGACCCCCAACCCATCCCCACAACATTGAGAAGCAAAGTGCAAGAAGGCTCGGCACCCACTCCCCAAGCCCCTTGGAGCTGGCCCAGGGCCATACCAGACATGGCTGTGCCAAAAATGCATGCCACGCTGCCACACAAAGCTCCTTCCGTTCAAGGAGGCCGAGTCAGCAGACACGGAGACCCCTCTGCCGCTCACTCACACAACACCCATAAGGTCTAGGCCAAGCACACGGGTAAGTGGCAGCAAGACAGGCCCAGCTTCGGCCTCCACACACTCACAGTTAGAGGGGTGCCGTGCGTGCAGACCCGGTAGGGACAGAAAGGAGTTGAGTAGGTGAAGCAGCCAGGATGGGGTTCCCGGCCGAGCCAACATCATGGGCGTGTTCCAGGTGCACAGAAAGCAGGGCTCTTCGGAAAGCGATGCAGTGTGTGGCTGGGGGAGTGAGGCAGGTGACAGGGGCACACAGTGAGACTGGAGAGAGGTCACCTGGCCAGGCGGGGCCCCACTGCTCGTGAAAGATCAGAAATTGATCACTAGGCTTTTCTTCCGTAGGCTCCAACCATAAGCCTTTCAGTTAGTAACTGAGTTTATGAACCGTTTGCACCCCTCAGGGGCTCTGTCTCAATAATAAAACCAAACCAAACCCACTGCTGTTGGGTCGATTGCAGTTCATGGCGACTCCATGTGAGTTAAAACACGAAACATGCTGGCTCAGGGCCCAGTATGCTGTAAATGTCCAATGCAGATCGCTATTGTGACCTGGACAGTCAGGGCAGGAGTGCGAGGTGAGTTCCCCATTCCAGGGAATGGGCAGGCAGGGGGATTCTGTTAAGCCGAAAAAGTTCTAACTCCTGTGACCTGGGGCGGCTGGCTCACTCTCCGTTTTCGGCCCCATTTCAGAGATGAGGATTTGGGCAGGAGTCTCTTTTTGAACTGAACCTATTATGTATGCAGTCCATGGGGAGAAGGGCCCGACCAGCCCAGGATCAGCTTTTGGCACCAAAACCCACCGGGACGGCCCAGCCCTGCCGGCTCCCGGCATTGAAAGGCAAAGCTGGGCCACTGCAGGGTTGTCCTCTCAGCCTGGCTCCCAGCTCTAGGGAAAAGAGAGACCAGGGGAGGCAGGATGGCCTTCCAGCACAATTCCAGCAGCCCCCTGCACACAAGAGCGGCCTAATATCCTCCGAGAGTGGCCCAGTGTTCCCCAAGAGCAACCCAGTGTCCCCCAAGAGCAGCCCGATGACCCCCAAGAGCGGCCCAGTGTCCCAAGACTGCATGGTCTGGGCTCTTCTGCTCAGGGTGCCCCCGAGGAGCCAAGGACACTTCCAAGGGCACATCCTGTACCCCTAAATCGGGAGCAGTACCTCCAGGGCCCCACCCCCAATCCCTGAAGACACAGAGGCCGTGAAAACATGAGGGGGGTCACTCCTTGGGCCCAGCTAGAGGACAAGGAGGGCCCCGTCTGCAGCACCCTCCCGGCAGACAGCACCGTCAATAAGGACTTGGCCTGTGACTTACTTTGAAAAGTGACGCCAGCAGGGGCCTTGCTCACCGCTGGGAGTTCCCAGGCCAGCCGGCTGGAGGCCACCAGGAACCAAGCCTCTGTCTCAGTGGACAGTAACGTTCCCGCCAGCTCCAACCCATCTTACAGACGAGGATGCCGAGGCCTGGACAGAGACGGGAGCTGCCATACACTGAAGGAAGAGCCCAGTGAGGCCTGGAGACCAGGTCTCGTGACTCTGACGTGACAACGGGGGCAGTAAGGCAGAAGATGAGGGGGACCCCAGTCCCCAGTTAAGAGCTCGGCTACTAACCAAAAGGTTGGTGGTTCAAATTCACCCAGAGGTGCCATGGAAGAAATGCCTGGTGATCTACTTCCAAAAAATCAGACACTGAAAACCCTATGGAGCCCAGTTCTACTCTGACACACACAGGGTTGCCATGAGTTGGGGTCGACTCGACAGCAATAGGTTTAGGTGAACAGAAGTCCGACAGGGTCTCAGGCCAGCACACAAATCTCACCTCAGCCAGCCATGCTCAGCAGACCTGGACCCCAAGGGCTTCACTCCCCTGGGGTGAAGCTTTCTAGCCCGGAAGCACTAGAAAGAGCAGTGCCCATGTGGCAGGCTTTGAGGTCACAGCTAAGGAAGCAATGACACCGGGACTCCCAGCCCCAGCCCTTGGCCTGGACCCCACATTACACACCCTCACGCCAGCCCCTAGCCACCATCTACTCTGCAGCCATGACCGCTGAGGTCTGGGGAAGCCCCTTGCCATGACCATGGAGTCCGAGCAGACGCAGGTTCCTGGGAGCATGCCGGGGTGCAGTCCGGGGTTATGGGCGGGAGGGGGTGGGCAGGAGCAGAAATGCCCGGAATGCAAGGCTGAGCCGCAGCAAAGGCTGCAGCCCCACGTGGGCGACGCCACTGAAAACACTGCAGCCACCTCAAAGGCTGGGCACCGCCGCCTGGGTCGGCCACAGACCACAGCCTCCGCCAGCCACAGCCCCTTCCTGGCCGGGCGCGGCCACCGTCCTTCCTCCCCATGCAGGGGATGAGGGTGCTGGGCTGGTCAGCACTGTTAGCCACCACTGCCTAGCGCAGGGTAGGCTCTCACCTGTGAGTACATGAAGGAATGAAGGAATGATGGAAGGAAGAAAGGATGCTGACGAGCCACGTTCCCACCAAACCTTTCCCAGCGGTGCTTCTCTGTCCCCAGAAGTGCGCTAGGCTTTCCAGGTCCATTGCTCATGGACATGTCATTTCAGAGAACTTTGCATGGAGAAAGACTGAGCAGACTTACTGGCATCTCATGGCAGCACAGCTTCCATGTATAAATCACACGTTCATGCATCCAAGATCAGACCTATGTCTGCAGGCACAGCACATGAACAGCACAGGGCAGACACTGGACAGGGGTCCTTAGGCAAGAACTCGGCTGTCTGTCTGTGCCGCACCAGGCACAGCTGCCCTCCCCCCCAACCCAGATGCACCCCCTGACACCAAGCTTATTCACACTGAGAGTGAATCAGAAATCAGAAACCTGATCGAAAACGGAACTAGCATGCCACACTGTGCAGAAATTCCTTTTAAAACCTCCACAAACGTGTGGACGGCAGAGAAGTTAGCCACCCCCTTGGAGACAACACAATCCCAAGATCCAGAGGGAGCTGGGTACCACAGGAGCTGCAAGGCCAAGCACAGGGACACCAGGCCAGGGCAGCTGGCAGCCAGCGGGCAAGGCAGGACTCCCAGCCACCCAAACTGACCAGCCCCGCGAGCAGGCATGGCCCAGCCACTCTCACCCAGCAAGCTCACTTCTGGATTAAAACCCTCCATTCTCCCTGTTGGCTTGGTGGGGTGTATCCTCTCTACAAGGCAACACGCAGCCTGTGGGATGGAGTCCTCTGGCCTCCTCCCAAAAGGTTCTGGAATTCCTCAGGTAGGCACGGCATTCCTCAGTCGAGGGGGCAGGCCCAGAGGCCCCAGCTCAGAAAGCAAGACCAGCTATCACCCACGAGCCTTCCGACAACTGCCCATGTGAGGTGGGGATGGAGGTCTAGACTCAGGGATGCAGCTAATAAACTCGACTGCAAAATGCTTTTCATCTGCATGGGTTTCGTTTTGGGGTATTTCCTTTGTTTTGGTTCCAAAAAAAATAGCAGGCTCTCAGGTACATAAAAGTGTTACTATTCGATGAAAATACAAGCGTCACCTTTACAAAGAAGAAAACCACACATACATCTATGTCAAATACACATAGAGCATGGCATCTTACAAAAAAGTAAAGAATTTACGTTCTATCCAAACACTGGCAGCAGGGGACCAACCTCTGCAACCCTGCCACAGTGACAATCTAGGTACAAGTAATAACATGTTTCCCTAGCCAGACACCGGACAGCAACACTTTACCACGTGCTCTGTGGGGGAAACACAGCATCCCTCAGCAAACAGGACACGTACAGCTGGTCTACATACGTTGTTTTAAATTGTCATTGAGTCACTCCTCAACTCATGGTAACCCCAGGCACCATGGAACAAAATACTGCCTGGTCTTGCACTGTCCCTGTGATTGGTTGCAGATTGGACCATTGTGATCCATAGGGTTTTCAATAGCTGATTGTCAGTAGATTGCCAGGCCTTTCTTCCTAGTTCATTTTAGTCTGGAAGCTCCGCTGAAACCTGTTCAGCATCATAGCAACACGCAGCCTCCAGGGACAGACAGGTGGTGGCTGCCCATGAGGTGCATTGGCCGGGAATTGAACCCGGGTGTCCCGCATGGAAGGTGAGACTTCTACCACTGAACCAGCACCGGTCTACACATCGTTCTTTTGAAATGGCTGAAATTAAACAAGTAAGATAAAGCAAGATGAGGGGGGAAACACACAGAGCCGGAAACATTTAGAAAATGATGCATAGGTAGGTATACCATGTTTATTTTAATACATCTCATTTCATTAGTCTGCGTCCTGCTAGGAAAAATACCGTCCCACTCTCCAACAGTCACAGCAGCCTCGTGTGTTATCGGTGTAAATGTCATCATCCAAGAGATAATTAAAAAAAAAAAAAGCTAGGCAAAGAGTAAAAAGGAAAGCTTAATAATCACTTTATGGTGTAAAAAAAAAAAAAAAAAAAAAAAAAAAATTCCACTTAAGGCTCCCAAGAAGGTTTCTGTATAGACTTAAACACTATGCATGAGCGAGAAGGTGTGGTTCCGAACATTGGCGTGGCGGTTTCCGGTACATTCCTGGCTCCTGCGTGGCCCTGCAGCGCCCACCAGCCTCCAGTGGAGTCATCCAGAAAGCAGGCTCCGTGTCCTTGGCCAAAAGCACCTGTGACAGAAATCTAGTCTGCTGCTGCGCCATCAACCACCCCCATCACTCCGGGCGTCCTCCTCTCGGCCAGCCATGTGGATGTTTTCTTGTGGGTCATTTTTGTTTTCATCGTTCTGTTTTTCTCTCTCTCGCTCGCTCCTTTTTTTTTTTTTTTTTTTTTTTTGACAAGGAAGCCTCTTATAGTTCACTGAGTGCTACAATACTTGCTTTGATGTCACATTAGACAAATGTACACTGTTTCTTTGTTCTCCGGAGTGTTCTTGGAGACAGTTTTCACGGAGGAGAACAAAGATCGCACGCTGGCAATAAAGCACCGTACATAGTAGGTTCAGGAATGTAACACGCCATGGACATCCGTGTCCCGAGGAAGGGCTGCCGGCTGGTCCTCACCTCACGTCTGCAGGGAGAGGGAGAGACAGACACTTAGAGTGAGCAGAGCCGCCATGCACACGCAGCGCAGCGTCAACGGCGAAAGGAGCAAGCCTTAGGATGTAAAGTTTCCAGGACATTGTGTAAATCCAATTTGCCTTGCTACGCTTGCTGCAACACCCTGGCCAGGATCAGGACTAGGCTCACAGCATCTCACAGAAGAACATGAGTTGAAAGCAAGCCCCATCTTCCCATTGTACAGATGAAAGAAACTGAGGCCCAGAAGACTCTTTTTCTTCCCTTCTTCCCCACCTTCCTCTTTCCTCCAGCCTAGAGCATGGGTGTGATTTCTGGAGCTCCAGCAGCCATCTTAGGCTATGAGGCAGCCCTGAGGATGGCACCACAAGCTAGAAGGGGTCTCTGTGGCCAGGCAGAGTTGGGCACATACTCTGAGTGAAGAGTAGCTTCACAGCTTCTCCCCATCCTATATCTCATTCTGACATATGTGCCACCTACCTGCCCAGAGCCTTCAGGCTAGCTGGGCACGGGGGCACACCTGCCTGCCTCTGACTGCAGGGTCTGTGTCATCAGCTGTACAATGAATACCAGAATCTAATGCTCCGTGGAGGCCTGATCCACAGACAGGCACAAAACCACCCATCACGCCACACCCTCAGGCTAGCTAAAGCAAAGGCTGGGCGATTGTTTTGGCTGTTTCACAGCCCCTCCAGGTGGACACTTCCCTCCCAAGGGGATCCCCATGAATGGACTTGACTCTCTGACCTCAAATGCTCCCTGACTCTACAGACTCTTCCAGTCCACACGGCCCAGAAGGAGCCAGGCTCTCAGACACACTGCCTCTGAAGAGCCTCCTCTTCCAACTGTTTGTTTTGGATGTCTCGGATTCCCACGGGCCAGGAGGCCAAGGTCAGGCTAACAACACTAAGAAGCAAGAAGGCCTCAAACAGCCTCCTTGGGATGCATGTGGTTGCCCCAACCCCACTGTCTTCTGAGAAGCAAGGTGCCTCCCTAAAAAGACTATACATTTCCTGGGCTCCTTGCACGGAAGGATGACCGCTGAGATAAAAGCCAAGCCACCAGATGGGAATTCTGGGAAAGCTCTCTACAAGGTTCTTTTGTTCTTCTCCTCATCTTCCTCTTTCTTCCAGCCTAGAACATGGGTGTGATTTCTGGAGCTCTGGCAGCTACTTTGGACCATAAGGCAGCCCACAGGGTGGACACACAACCAACAGAAAGAAAATTGATACCTTGAGACTGAGTATTTGCTCTGGTCCCATCAAGAACTTCTATCTCATCTGAACCTTTGTTATTTCTGGGATGTTACCAGCAGCACAGTGCCATTTCTAATACAGTAATCAACGACCCTGTACATTGATAAAAACTAGTTGTGGTCAAGTCGATTCCAACTCATGGTGACCCCATGTGTCAGAGTAGAACTGTGCTCTAGAGGGTTTTCAATGGCTGTGATCTTTTGGAAGTGGATCACCAGGACTTTCCTCTGAGGGTGCCTCTGGGTGGATTGGAATCACCAGCCTTTCCGTTAGTAGCCAAGCGCTTAACCATTTGCACCAACCCGAGACACCACTGATAAAGCATTTGCAGACAGGATTGACTTAGCCTTCAACGACCCCTGTCTGTCAACTCTGTGAGCCTCAGTTTTTCCATCTGTCAAATGGGGTAAATGACTTACCCAAAGTGATGTCAGCTAGGCAGTGTCAGAGCTGCCCTTCGGCTGCTCAGGAAACCCAAAACACTCCAACTCTTACCACCTGCCAGAGCATTCATGTATGTGTGACTATTTCTGCCTCCCCGATCAACAAAAAAGAGAAGGCCAAGCCAAAGAGGTGGCTCCAGAGCAAGGGAGGGCCGTCGGCCGGAGATTGGGAGCCAGGAGACCCACAGCCAGCAACACCGGAAGCAGCAGAGCGATCAAGGCCAATCAGAGTCCTCTCCTCTCCAGACGGCTGTGTGATTGGCTGGTGTGATCAGAATCAATTGCGTCTCCCTCCCCGGTGGGATTCCAGCAGACAGGTCCTACCTGGTTGGCCGCTCTAGGTGGGCTTTAACCTTTTTCGCTTCCGTTTTTTACCTGATTCCCTAGGCCTTCCTGTTAACAAAAGGGCAGGGAGGGTGAGAGGGCCTGGGGGAAGGCTGTCGGGTAGAAAACCGAAGCAATAAATACCTGTGGTGTTTATCTTTCTGCAGAAAACTCGGCACTTCCTGGTCCCCCCACCCTCTTTTAGGGCGGCCACAGCTGTGGGTCCCTACGCCCCATTGCCTCTGGGCAAAGTCCACCTTGAAGGGTGAAGGTCAAGGCTCGGGGCAGCCAGCGAGTGCCTGTCCACTTGTCCTCCGTCTATACCACAGCCACGTCTACATCACGGCCACATCTATACCGCATCCCAGCCGGCTGGTCCAGTGTGTCGGACTCAAAAGGCACCACCAGCTGTCACTCACGTGGTTTTGACGGCCTCTCCCCCAGAACTGGAGCTCTGCCCATGGTTTCACTCTGCACACCCCTGGAGTAGGATTCTTGGGCCTGTAGCGGGTCCTCCAGGGGTGTACTCTCCGAGGTTAAAAAGACAATGCAACCTCATATTCTATGGCCCATCAAACCAACATCGACTCATGGTGACCCCACGTGTGTCAGAGCAGTACTGTACTCCATAGGGTTTTCAGTGGCTGATTTTTTGGAAATAGATTGCCAGGCCTTTCTTCTGAGGCGCCTCTGGGTGGACTCGAACCTTCAACCTTTTGGTTAGCAGCCAAGTACATTCTTGTTTGTACCACCCAGGGGCTCCTCTTCAAAGAAACTGCCCCCAAAAACTCCTGCAGCAAGATTTGAGGAACATTCCTTAAATGAAAAAAATAACAGTAACAGTGGCACCACTCACCTGTCTCCTCTTCCCGATAATCCGGGTTCAGGTTTGAGGTCGTACATGTGCACTCCAGGTGCTCCTCCAGCCTCACCTGGACTTCTTTTAATTTTGGCTTTTTCCTGACATACTCCACTTTGGCCACCTGCCAAGAGAACAGAGCCACTGTGAGCACCAACATCGAGGCCCTCTGGAGCAGGAGGCCCGCAGGGCACCTACCTGATGGTATGGAGGGCAGGTCCAGGCAGGGAGCCTATAAGCTGTAGCACAGTATTTGTGAGTTAATCCCATTTCTGTTTAAAATAAACCCAACCAAAAGGCTCCCATGTGCCCGAGAAGAGGCTTGAAGGCTGGGCACTAAATGTGGGGTCCCCTCAGTGGAATGGAAGGAAGGGAGGGAGTTCGTTCAAATGTTTTCTCTACAGCTGGGCTCTGGGGAATTTTTTCAAAGGTGTGCTTTTATTAAAACAACAACAACAACGGCCCAGGAACAGTGCTGAGCTTGGCTCACTCTGGATCCTCACTCAGGAAGCCCTTCCCCGCCTGGCCCTCCACGTCCAGCTCAAGGACAAACACAGCTCATGAAGCCCCCGCAGGTGGCTGCTGGGTGACTCACCCAGAGCTGGACTTCGTGCTCAAGAGGCTAGGAGTCCCCAGGTGCTGCTGGCCTAGCTACTGGCCACACGGAGGGTCTCCTCCTCCCCCATGGAAGCCTGGCTGTCTCAGAGGGACACAGGCCGGGAACCCCAGCTGTCTCAGGAGCCGCCCAGAGCGGGCTCCTAGAGGAGCAGCCGATCGCAGGCCGTGGCTTTCTGGTAAAGGGCAGCAGGGAGGACCAGAAGGCAGGGATGTGGCCAGGTGCACCTGCTCCTGACCTGAGCCGGGCAAATGGCATCATCAGCCATCTAGGTGCCAAGCCGGTCTCGCCTTCCTGGGTGTAGGGTTACCTCCAGGCAGGCCCGCCTCCAAACCAGTCCCCAGTCCAGGGCACAGGTCCCAGAGGTGCAGTCGCCAGAGCTCAAGAGTGGAGGAAGAGAGATAGAATCCCCTCAAGACCCCAGAGCAGACACCCTGGCCTTTCCAGAACCCCCACATTGGGCCCCGGGGACAGTGCATCCCAGTATGGGAACTCGACTCCACCCCAAAACAGACACATGTACGCGTCGCGTGCACACAGCATTCAATAAACCATCCTAGTGAGTCCTCAAGGAGTCCCTGGGTGGTCCAAACAGTAACACGCTCAACTGCTAACTGAAGAGTTGGAGGTTTGAGTCCACCCGGAGGCACCTTGGAAGAAAGGCCTGGCGATCTACTTCTGAAAGGTCATTGAGAATCCTACGGAGCACAGTTCTACTCTGACACACATGCGGTCACCATGCATCAGACAACTTGACAGTGACTGGTTATTGAGCACTGAACATCGCTACTGTGCCGGAGCACTTCTGTCCCCTCCCTCATTTCACCCACTTACGGACGAGTCAGAGAAGGCTATCTCCATGTTATCTTCCTTGTGAGGAACGGTCCAAACCTCAACTCTCTAACTCATTTACCCTCCTAACAACTTCCATTTATAGAAGGGAAACTGAGGCACGGGGCTGCCCCCTTTCCAAGGATGACACAAATGCTCTAAGCGGCGGCGCGAGGATATGACCCGGGCGGTCAGCTCCAGAGCTGGTGTTCCAAACCACTGCACAGTATTGTCCATGTTCAGATCATGGTGCTCCCCAGCCCCTACTTTCTGTCCAACTCTCACACAAATCCCCCAACCAGTGCACACCACGTCCTGTCTGTCCCTGCTGGGAAGCCTTGCCTCCTCAGCCACCTCTTCCGCAAACCCTGCCCCGTCCACTCTCTCCACGGCCTACAACGTGCTTCCCTTGCCCGAAGCCCCCAGACAGCTCATTTATCAGGCCCATAAGCAGGAACGATGACCATTTACTGGGAATTGAATGCTGTCCCCCAAAGATACATTTAAGTCCTGACTCCCATACCGGTGAACGGGCGTTGCCTGGAAATAGGGTCTTGAAAGGTGTTGTCAGTTAACTAAGTTCATTCTGGAGTAGGACAGGTCCTAATCTCATCACCTACCTCATAGGGACCCCATTCACAACAGAACGAAACGCTGCCCTGTCCCGCACCATCCCCGTGATCAAAGGAAATGCTGCCGCAGTCCTGCGCCATCCTCATGATACGCTGCAGATCAGACTGTTGTTCGTAGGATTCTCACTGGCTAATTTTCAGAAGTAGATTGTCAGGCCTTTCTTCCTAGTCCATCTTAGTCTGGAAGCTTTGCTAAAACCTCTTCAGCATCATAGCAACATGCTATGGGCAGTGGCTTTGCATAAGGTGCACTGGCTGGGAATTGAACCTAGGTCTCTTGAATGAGACAAAAATTCTACCACTGAACCACCAATCTGAAGTCACCTGAGTGGTGTCTTTAAAGGGAAGAGACAGAGAGACAGACACACAGAGGGAAGACAGCCATGTGAAGATACATCAACAAGTCAAGGAAGGCCTGGGGCCACCAGAAGCTGAGAGGCAAGAAGCCTCCTCCCTTTGCCTTCGGAGGGAGCCCAGCCCTGCTGACGCCCTGAACTCAGACTCCTAGCCTCCAGAACTGAGAGACAGTAAATTTCTGTTCTTATCAGCCTCCCAGCTTGTGGGCCTTGTCACGGTCACCACAGGACACTGGTACAGCACCTCTGCCCACCCGCCTTCAGCTTCTCCCGCGGTCCCTTGCTCCGGGCCCATAAGAGGCTGTGTCACCTCCAGCAGGTTCTAGCTGGTATGGAGTTTGAGGCCGACTGAGCAGTGTCCAGAGCAGCCCTTCACCATTCATGTGGGGAGAAGGGGGCCGGGAGGGGACAGAACCTGCCCTATTTCACACCCTGGCATGTACAGAGCTGCAGTAAATGGATGAGAAGACCCCAGACCCAAGATGGGACACCTCCACCCAGGGGCCTCTGCCTCCTCGCCCCCCCACCCCAGGCAGTCCGTGAGGGGGCTGTCCAGGCTCCATGCAGAAGGTCGTGAGGATCCAGGCAGTGTGGTCAACCTGCGTCCGGCCCGCCCACCAGATAAGCCGCTCTCGGCACTGGACCGGGCTGCACAACTCACTGTGGCCTCGAGAAGCGGCTGTGTTAATCATCAACCCAGGGTGCAAAGGTGCCCGTCCAATGTGTGAAGTGGTATGCGCTGCCCGGGTGTGAACGCCCTGCACCAGGAATGCGCTCACAGATGTGGGGTGCGGCATGAACTCAAGCAGGGTCAGGAGCCAGGCCAGAAAAGGGGGCCATGGCAGGAGGTTTCACTGCGTCAGTCAGGGAGTTCCAGGAGAAACCCGCATTCAGGGCACAGGGAGGGAGCTGCAGTCTCACCCCATCTGGCTTCCGGGATGAGGTCCCCCCTGCTTGTACCTGCGACCCCTTGCCTGCCTGCTATGGGGCAGAAACTTGAGCTATGTGGGCAGGGCTGGTCACGCCATGGTCCCCTAGACTCATACCTCGGCCTCCCCAGGCCTCCCCATCTGTAAAATGGGGACGGTGACCACCCCACCCCAGGGGGTGCGGTGAGGGTGAATCGAGGCCATAAACGCACCCACCCTGGAACGCGGGACAGCGCTGCCTTCCCAGACCAGCCACTGCTGCCAGCGACATTTTAACTCAGCACCTGTCCTCCCGAGATCAGCTCCAGCACCACCGACCTGGGTCAGAGGACCAGGCTGGGGTGAGCCTAGGGGACCACGGGGTGGCCTGCTCTACCCATATAGCTCAAATGGCTGTGCCCTATGTGGGCAGGTGAGGGGTCCCAGAAGGACCCTCTCTCAAGGACCCTGGGGAGGTGGGGGGAAGCAGGCCACCCTGGAGGTATGTCCCAGGAGAAGCAGGGGGCTAGGCCTGGACTTGACAACCTGGCACCATAGCCAGCCAGCCCAGACCTGTAATATGCCCAGACTGGGACCTCACGGGGTGCAAATTGGACGAGCTCCCCATTCCATACAGGACCTTGCAGCTCCTCCCCGCCCAGCCCCTAGCAGGTGAGACAGAGGGGCCCTGATCTCATTCTTCCGGGGGCCTGAGCTGCCCACCACCCCGGCCTCTACTGGGAGGGTGGGAGGCAGGGCCACAGGCAGCTGGCCTGGATTCTTGATCCAGGGCTGAGCTGGGCAGGGCAGCTGCCTGCTCTGGCCCTGGGACGACCCCAGCCCCTTTGTTCAACAAGCAGCCTCACCTAGATCCCTCTTCGGGCAAATACGAGGTTCAGGAGAGCTGCTCGTCCACCTGGCAGCGGGGTTCAGGCTGGTCCCTCGCCCTCGAGGCAGCAGACACCCCTTGGCCCCTCCCCAGGCCCCACGGGGAGGGGAGTGCACAAGGGCCTCCCGGTCTAGGAACCCACTCTCCCTCCAGACGGCCCATTTTATCAGAGAAAACAAACAGCGTTTATGATTGCACCTGCCCCTGGGTATGCGAGGATTCCAGGCTGTTCCGCCACCTCTGTCTGGCCAGGAAATGGCCACATTCTTCCCCAAGAATGCACAGAGAATATTAAATTCTCCAATGTCTCCCGCACACAACTCGCATGCAGAGAGCTGAGGCAACAGCGTCCTCAGGACCCTCATTCGCGTCACTTCGGCTCCCAGACGCCCTTCCGGAACCTTCCAAGTGGGGAGTCCCCACATCCCTCCCTTTCTTCTCCCTTGGGTGTGTCTCTCACCTTAACAGGCCAGATGCTCGTCTCCCCGCTACAAAGCTCACCTGAACCGCAACCATCACATCTGTACACTCCTCAGAGCCAATCCATCCAGTGATGGCCACCCCACTTCTAGGGAGATACACGAGGGCAACAGGCCCCAAGTTCCTGCTGGACATCGTGTCCCTAGCCCCCAGCCTGCAGGGGACACCCCACTGCACTCCCAGACAATCTTTAGAGCCTCAAAGCAGAATTGATCAATGATTAAAAAAACAGCCATGTACCAATCACACCTGCCAGTCACACGTAACCCTCACAGCTATCATCGGGACACAAGCCTGCCCACTTCGCAGATGAGGAAACTGAGGCAGCTCTAAACCCTCAATGCTGGTCCAGGCCCCTTCTCCCTTCTCTCGCTGTCCCCCTAGTCTTCAAGAAACCCTGAGAATGCCCCTC